AAATAATGTTATGATTATGGACCAAGCACTATCAAAACTGGAATTGTGGAAAGATAAGCATACCTCTATTTTTGGAAGAACTATTGCTATCAATAATGTGGTTTTGGCCTCGATATGGTATAAATCTGCAATATGGGCTATGGATAAACCAGCTATTAAGACATTTCAACGTCAACTTGTAACTTTTCTATAGCGTCGCAATCATGAATGTACTAATGTCATCAGTAGAGTATTATGGTTATCCATAATCTAGCCCAAAGGAAAAGGTGGTCTTGGGATTATTGACCCCACTATCAGAGAAAACAATGGAACTCCAAAAAGAAGAAGATGACATGAGTTTTAATATCATGGCGAAATCAACTTCTCCCCAACATCACCTTGACCTTCACCGCCAAGGTTCTCAACCCTTCTACTCATCCGCCACTCAGATTGAGGTAAATGGTTCACACGAGTGCCATTTTTTTATACTATTTCACCAACCTTACTTTCCCCTACAAGAAGATTAAATTAAATTAAAATAATAAATAATTAAATAACTTCATCTAAAAACACGGGGGAACCAAAGATGAAAACCCTCAACAGGTTAACTCGTGAATAGAGGTTGGCGTGTTATACCGCGTCCACCTTTGCTGGCCAAAACCTCTGATCTAGAGTTCTTGGCGTCGAATGCGCAGATGCCGATCCGAATGAATTTGGCTCACAATTGCGCACAAGTAGATTCAACCCTGTTGAGCCTGTAGGCCTCCCTTTCCCGCCATCGGTGCCAACTCGTGTTACGCCCGTTGTTATTCCAAAATCCAGATCCCCACACCGGTAGTAAATCATATATCTGCCCGTATTTCTTTCCCGCAATCTTTGCGGTTTTAACTCTTGTGCCTCGTCCTTCTGCTACGGGTCAAAATCTCATCCGCCGTTTTACACATGGACTGAATCTGGTCTAAATATTGTCACAGGGGGTTACCTGTCCTGTGAATATCGTGCCACTTCCAGTATTCCCTGCCAGAAAGTAGATCTGATCCTGCGCTGCACACTCTGGAGCCCCGCAACTACTACCGTCCCTGGGTAACTGCTCTTTCTAAGCTCTTCGAATAGCGTGAGGATGTTGCAGAACGTCAGCCCATCATTATTTGAATTCTGAGAAATGCGTAAAATCGTGTTTGCTATTATCGCAAATTTGTCCGCCCGGGGTCCATATGACGCAAAATGTTTGTACGTACGGAACTGCAGAGGCTCATTACCTCATATTGTCCCTGCATTTCTGAACTTGTGGGACATCAGTAGTACCTTGGCCCTGCATACCACCAGCCTGGTTTCAAGAAAATCCAGTAGGCCATTCCCCGGGTCTGTTCGTTCCAGCACTAGGCCATCCGGATAACATTGCGTCACGCTATCAAGATACCGTTCGGCTTTGGATGCCCCTTGCTCATCCGAGGTTCGAAACAGAGCGATAATCAACAAGTCGTCTATATATCGCTTACCCATAATTAATCGCTTGTCCGCACCCAAGGACTTTATAAACTAATTCTCAGCCATCATGCACATCACACAGGCAAGCGGCGGGCTCGCCCTGCCTCCCATCGGTATTCCCTTCTTCTGTCGGAGCACAGAATCGGAGACTAGGAAGTAGGTATTTTCTAATTGAAACTCTGTTAATCCGATCAGAGTTTTCAATCGAATTGACTTCCAACCCGTTTCCCCGTGCGATTTCCCAAAGCGTGCTTCCTTTTTCCTTGGGTTAACTCTGACCCATTTGATTGATTTGGTATGAAAACAATCCACAATCCAAGCAACAGCCTTCTGAATCTCAACATGTGAAAGTTTGGTGAACATTTCTTTGATATCATATGTGCGACCCCACTACCCAAACCATGGCTCTTTCAAAGAAATGACTCTCACTACCCAAGCCATGACTCTTTCAATTCAGTGGATTAAGCATTTACTTTTTACCCCGCGGACCCCATGGAGTGAATTGGCAAAGGAGCAAATCAGGAGACTAGCTCCCCCTACTGCAGAAGAGGTAGACCCGCTCATGTGGTTAGAGAATAGATCCTGGCCTCTTCCAAAGAAATCCTCCTCTATATATCAGGGACATTTTCCTTCGGATCGCCAAGCTGCTAGAGCAGACCTAGTAAATGATTCTTTCTGGATTGATCTCTTGAAAGTTTGGAAAAAACTTCCCCTCCTAGATAAGGTGCTGCCAGAAAGTTGGGAAGAGGTTTGCCAACAACCTTTATTTAACAATTTCTTGATTAGAGACTCTCAAGGCTATACCCTGGATTGTGCAACATCGCCTTGGAAAGGATGGATTAGGAAAGGTATTACTAGAATAAAGGACACATGGAGTAGTACTGATAAAGATTGGGTAAGTCCGCAGACTTTCCATGATAGACTTCGATACTGTCATTTTCCGGTAGAAGCCCTGGAAAGGATCATGGACATCATTCCCCTAGATTGGATTAGAATCCTAAAAAAAAGGCCGTCTTTTTTCCCACAGGATTGGGTATCCATTCTGTCTCATCCTAAACTAGTGGGGAATGTCCTGGAAATTGGTGAAACAGGGGAGGCCCACTTGATGATATTTAATTTACGAGATGATGGTTTTCTCTCACCTACGGCTCAACAGCAGACAAGGTGGTTTAAACAGGATTCCCTCTTTCGTATTAGGGTGTTGGCAAGGGAAGGAAAATTGCTTGCCTATAAACCAGACACCCTCATCTCCCACCTTCCTCTTGATCCAATCAGCTGGTCTTGGTCAGGACACACTCTAGCACGACATCACCACATCAGGATGCTCCATAATTTATCAGTTAAATCTGCATATAGGATGCTTAGGCCCAAGGTATGTCTTAAAGAAAAAGTGCAGAATCGGTGGATGTCTCACCTAAGGGTAGGAGTGGAAGAATTACGCTCAGTAAAATGGTTTCAATTGTCCAAAACCAAGCCAGCCAAGTTTGCCTCGCTTCAATGACAAATTTCTCATCGTTGTCTTCCCACCAATGACTGGCTTATTGATCGCACATCTCTAGAACAAACGGGTAAAGCATTCCCATGGTGCAAGTTCTGTAAGTCTGTCTTTCCTTCCAAATGTATTCCTGAAACGATAGAACACATATTTTTGCAATGCTCAGGATCGGTATGGTTATGGCGTTGGTCGTTAAGAATTTGGAATCAGATAGGGACATCACTTTCCTGGCTCTGGAATTGGAAAGCCTTACTATTGGAAACTTGGAACCCATCTCCAGTGGATAATTTCACTCTTAATTTTTTTCAAATCTCTCGTAGAGCGGTAATATGGGCACTGTGGGTTCGTAGGTGTACCTATGAAATGGAAGGAGCACGGCTTCATGGTCCGGAATTCACTGACACTATTAAGCAGCAAATTCAGGTGGAAATCACAACTAGATGGGAAGTGGTGAAGGAAAAGCTACAATTTTTTTCCCTAGAACAAGATATAAAACATCACATCCTTACTTTTAATCAAGACTGGCTTGGTGGGGATCAGGGAGGGAGGGTGAGACGGGCAAAATGGGAAAAACGACAGAGTAATGATTCAGGGAAAGTCTCATGGATTTTTCGTCCTACCTTTCATGATTGGTGTGCAATTGATCCCAGCATCCCATTCAGTCCACTTTTGGATTTCCCAGATCTCTTTCCCCCTTCTGGTATGCCATTGGTGCCAATCTCATGGTATGGGCAGGATGTGGTTTGAAGCCGCGCTGTGTGCTTATAGTCTCTCTGTTCAGGTTCTTCTTCAGGCTCTGGGAGTAGTGGATAGGTTGGTTGTATTGTCTCAGTTCTGAAAGGATGCTTGATTAGGATCCCAGTGTCTGACTTCTTTTCCTGCACCGACAGTTCTTGAATGGTCATTTGTGCTTGATGATCACGTCTATTTGGCGCCCGTTCAGGGTGAAGAGGCACAAAGATTCAATTTCAGAGTTGCAGACTGTTCATTAACGATCATGTAAGGGACGCTTGACCCGGTTTCCAGCAGGTGCAGCAGGTGCACCTGTCTGCTTAGTTCATGATGTAAGGGACGCTGGACCCGGTTTCCAGCAGGTGCAGCTCCCCACCAATGGAACGGAGTCATCTTCTCATCTTGGGGGGTAGAGGGGGTGTCTGCTCGTATCAGCATGCCCTCTACTCCCCAATCCAGATGTTTAAAA